CGCACTACCCATTTCGCCTTATGCTTGTAGATCGACCCGTCAGCGAGCGTCTTGATTTCGAAGACCCATTTTTCCGCTTAGTTTTTTTCTCCCCTTTGCAGATGATCGGGGAACCAGCTTCCATATCCCGCGCCGCTTCATTGCTGCTATTTCAGCTGCCATGGCTGCTTTCCACTTCTCGCTGTCGGGTCCAGACAGGGCCTAGCATACGGTGGTAGGTTCCTTGGGTGAGGCATGGCGAACTGCGACTGCGAGCCCAAGGATGCGAAGACTGGTTTCGTTGGTGTCTTCGTAGGCAAGGCGATCGTAGTCGTGCATGCTGACAACGTCGTCGTCGCTGTCGTGGCCGTTGCGGGTGATGTCTTGCAAAAGATTTGGCAGTGGTAAATCGGCATCCGGAGATTGGCGCGCTGTGCTGTTGTAATTGTGGGCTTCACGGGTGTATCGCCTGAATCAAATTGTGAGACAAGTATGAAGATTGGAGTCTGGAACGGGCTTGTAAAGGGGATGTCGGGAAAGGAGTCGAATGGTGTGACGTCCGTTGCATCTGCATCCTCTGTCACGTCAGCCTTATTCTGTGATGTGGCGAATTTGCGGCGCCCCTCGAAACCTCTTTCCGGTGCCTTGTCAGCTCCGCGGTGTTCCTTGAATAGTGGGATTTTGTAGAAGATGCAGTTACGTGATTTCGTCACTTCGTGTGCCGCGTAATCCAGCACGATCCACGCCTTGAACTCCTTTTCGATCCCGAGGTAGATGCCCCGGCGTGCCCGGCGAGCAAAATTTCCGGTTCTTGCCGTGTGGGGTCTGTACTGTACCATGCAGCCGAACACCCGAAGCAGACGTGTGTCAGCTTTTCTGCCCGTCCGAGCCTTGTAAGGTGATATGTTGTTCTTGAGGCTTCAGGATGAGAGCAAGTTGTGCAGCCGGACAGCATGGTTAATCGTGAACGACCAATACTATGTTGGGATGGCAGTCTGCTTCATGAGGGCTCTCATCCTTGTGGCGAGGCTCGTGTTTGTTTGTTCTGCTACTCCTTACTGTTCGTGTGCATAGGGCAGGGACACCAGGTGTTCGATCCCCTTCTTGGCGAAGAGTTCTTTGAACTCAGTTGAGAAGTACTCCATCTCTTCATCCGTCTGGAAGCTCTTAAGTTTCAGCACTGATTGTCATTCGGCGCGCTTCATCCATGTTACAAAGCACTTAAAGGCTCGTGGTCGGTAATCGATATTGATGGCCCATACGTAGCGCGTGCAAGCGTCGATAAAAGTCATCGTGGTATTTTCTCCGTCGAGTCCTTCCTGGCTAAGTATCATTCGTAGCCTGGAGGTAATCCGGGAAAGGCTTGTGAGCGAGTGACGGGGTCGGGCAGACGATGCACGGCGGATCGGGAGATGTTGCTTCGAGTGTGTCGCCACCAGGTAGGAGCAGTCCGCTTGTGTCAAAGACTTCGGCTTCGATAGAATTATTAAAGGTGGCATGTGATGGATGTCCGAGCCGCTGGTGCAAAATTTTTGGTTTTGCGCAGTAACCGATCGTTCCCTTATAGTATTTGTTCCTCCCTTCTTCTTCTTGCTGTGGTGTCGCAGGTCCCTTGTTGGCGGCGGCGCGTACGTCTGCTGCGAAGGCTTGGGTGGATGCTTGTTTCAGAACATCCTCGGGGATTTCGGCGACGTCATCCGTATTTGCGACGTGAATCGAATCGTCGGTGATCGGCAAAAGCTGTGGAGTTGGGAGCCGCACTGCTTCTGGCCGTTCGGAAGCGGAGAGTCCCTCCATCAGATTTCGATGATAGAGGTATTCCTCGCCGGTGACTGAGATTAGCTGAGGTCCTTGCTCCGGCGGAGGTGCTTCTTCGTTTGGTTCAGGTAGCTCTGCTGCTTCTCCAAAATCGTGAATCATCCCTTCTGACCTTTTCTCGTTCTTCCTCTACAGGTTCGTAGGGGTATCGGTCTGGAAGAGGAGGTCGCCTCCAGCTGGTGCCGCGAGTTGCCCAGTATGGGTCTCTTTCTGCTGCAGCCTCAGGAGGAAGTGTCGGTGCTTCGGGGTAAGGACCTGGTGGTCCCCAACCTCTTTTTGAAAGTTGACGCTCCCCATCCACCTCCAAGGGGAAATCCTGATGGAGCCGTTATTGGTTTTCCCCATGCTCCGACAATGACTTCCGTGTTGCTCCAGCCTGGGGCAACGGCAGAGTACTTTAAGAGAATCAAGAAACACAACCACAACTATGTCTCAAGCGGCTTTGCGATGACAGAGAAACACTTTATACTCTGGAACTACAAATTGGCCTGCACAGGGAGGGCAGAAGGAGGACTGGGAGTGGTGAGCCCAAGAGAATATTTGGCAGCATGGTTGTATAAAGGCTGGCATCGATGGTAACGGAGGAAGACGGGGTGAGGAGGTGGATGGCGGAGTAGGCGGCAGCAATGCCTCATGGCTGGGCTACCGTCTGGGCACACAAGGCGATAAAAAAAGAGTGGAAAGGAGAGAGCAGCAAATGGAAAGAGATAGTCAGAATAGCATAACACAAGAAACTACAAGAGTAGTTTGCGCTAACAAACTGTTGGGAGGCGGCGCAATAATTTATGCTCTTCAACAAAAACATTTGTAACCGGGGGAAGAGCTTGTTCGGCGCATAAAAAGGGGTGGATTGCTTGAAAGGGTTGGAGCAAGGAGACTTGATACACATGGGAGCAGACAGGATAGTCAGCATAAAAGGCAAACAACAGCTGAACAGAAAACTTTTCTTTTGTTTGTTTGTTTGTTTGTTTTTTTTTTTTTTTTTGGAAACATTGAGTGGGTGATGAAAGCATTTGCAGCGACACTAACGGAGTGGAAAGAGATGCTTCTGCAAATACTAACGGCAGACGAGATCTTGGGGCTCCTGTGTTTCCCCATCCTCCGGTTTCCTGCTGTGCTGCATGTGCTAACGCTCTGTTGTCTGCTTCTTGCTCCATTGATGCATGTCTAGTATCTTCAAGAGTGGAGGTTGAGGCAGTTGGGATGGCACGAAGGCGAAGAATATCGTCTGATGCGGGTCGTTCAAGATCCATTTCTTTAGGATGCGACCAAGTTGGTGTCTCCGTGGGTATTGTGTTCAGCAGAAGCGTTCTGTCCGAATCACCAATGGTCCCTTGAAGTTTAAGACGAAGACCCCTTCCTCGTCGGTCACATTCCCTATGTAAGTGTTATTGTAAAACAGCTCGAAGCTTTTATCTTCACAGTTGCTTTGAATGTCAACTCCACACTTCATGAGTTGAGCTACAGAGAGGAGGTTAAACTGGAGGTCGTTGACGACTATGACATCTCCGATGTGGATGGTGAATTGGGCGTCGCTTGACTCGAGGTAAACTTCTCCGATGTCATAAGCATTCAGTTGATTGTTGTTTTCGACAGTGACTTCACACGGTCGTCGCATTCACTTCGAGTTGCTGATGAATTTCATTGACCCCACCATGTGCTATCAAAATACCGTTTGTTGAAATTTTCCTTGCTGCGACGAGCGATGCCAGCGATCTTTGGGGTGATGATGCGGACAAGATCAACTCAGAAACACGAGATGTCGTTCTCGTGTCTTGCGGGAAAGCCGAGAGGAGACTCCGGCATGCTCGGAGGCAACTCGAAGTCAGGTGGGAGATTTGTTAGCCTGTCAATCCAGGGACTGAGTGTGGGATCACTGTTTGGACTTGGAATAACTGGCTCGACTGGAGCGATTGGTGGGTATTGAATGTCGTCGTAGTAGCGAATGCCTCTACGAAGCGCCATGCAACTGAGAATTGACCCCTTTCCTTCGTCCTTGGATGAGATGCGTGCAGGAGTTTGCGAAGTACTTGCGATGGAAGGTGGCGACATTGTTGACGTCGCGGCTGGTGTTGAAGAAGGCACTGAAGGTTGTTGAACAGGTGAGTTGATGCTACGCCTTTCGTTAGTGGCATTTTGCTTGTAGCACCGGTCCATGGTGTGACTCGGTTTCTTGAAATACTTGTAGAAGAGCCAATTCTTTTCGTGTGACTTCCCTTCAGTTGCGCTAGCATATAATACCAACTTCTCCCTCTTGCTATTTTTCTCATTGTACAAGTCGATCTCCTTTTGCTCGGAGAGGAGTGTGGCGCAGAGGGCTGATTCGAGGTGGTTGTTCGAGCGCAAAGCAACGACTAGCACTACCGCCACTCTAGTCCTCGTTCAGAAAAGGGCTATGGAGACAAACATGTGATCAGGGACGTTTCCGCCACAGTTCTTGAACTTGTCGAGCAGATCTCGGCATCGATTAATATGTGGTCATGCTTTCTCCCCTTTAACCATTTTGGCAAATGCCAGCTGGCTTAATAGTCGACTCATTGTTACTGGATCTGTTGCTATGTATGAATCGCGCAGGTGCTCCCAAGACAATTGCACAGGAGTGCACTCTTTTTTGAAGGGTCGAATGCCAAGCTGGGGAATGTCTCCTATTGGAAAGGGTAAGCTCTTATCGTAAAACATCCAGATCTGCGCGGTTGTTGCGAGGAGTTCAAACTAAATACTCCACATGTGAAAACCCTTTCCGTCAAACGGAATTGAGGTCTTCAGCTTCGATGTCAAAACAAACTTTGTTTGCATGGTTGCTATTGCTTCTAACTGTGCGCGTTGTTGCCTGTCGTGTAAGAATCCCATAGCTGGGATGAAGGGGTGAACTCAAGAGTTGGTATATTGATAAAGAAGAGCAGTACAAATAGGGAATGGGAAGAGTGACCAAAATCAGAGTTACCCCACACCATTATTGGCAGACCAATGTGGTGAGGATCCAGCCCAATAATTGAGGTTGAGTCAATTATTGGAGGGGCCAAACATTGAGGGGGGTTGGCCACCAATGTTGGCTCCCCAACAATAATGGCTGCTTGGGTTGTGGGAACCCAACCAAAAGTTGGGACACCACCTCAATGTGTACACCCATGATTTGGGTGTACACTATTAGTTCTAGCCATATACATGCTATATTCTAACACAACCCCTTAGCATGAGAATGGCTAGACCAAACAACCCCTGAAGCGAGGACCCGGTAATAGATGTGGTGGATGACGCGGCATGCCAGCCGAAGAGAGGGGGGCGACTGTTGAGAAGGCAGCCCAACAGCCGACGGGTGCGGCGGCGGCGAAGAGGGACGGCGGCGGCAGCGGGAGGGCTGCTGCGGCGGAAGGGAAACGGCGGCGGCAGCGGGAGGGCTGCTGCGGCGGAAGGGAAACGGCGGCGGCAGCGGGAGGGCTGCTGCGGCGGAAGGGAAACGGCGGCGGCAGCGGGAGGGCTGCTGCGGCGGAAGGGAAACGGCGGCGGCAGCGGGAGGGCTGCTGCGGCGGAAGGGAAACGGCGGCGGCAGCGGGAGGGCTGCTGCGGCGGAAGGGAAACGGCGGCGGCAGCGGGAGGGCTGCTGCGGCGGAAGGGAAACGGCGGCGGCAGCGGGAGGGCTGCTGCGGCGGAAGGGAAACGGCGGCGGCAGCGGGAGGGCTGCTGCGGCGGAAGGGAAACGGCGGCGGCAGCGGGAGGGCTGCTGCGGCGGAAGGGAAGGAGGAGGAAGCGAAGGGGAAGGGGGAGGTGGGCTGGATGGCCCGAAGGAGGAGGAAGCGAGGGGGAAGGGGGAGGTGGGCTGGATGGCCCGAAGGAGGAGGAAGCGAGGGGGAAGGGGGAGGAGGTGGGCTGGATGGCCCGAAGGAGGAGGAAGCGAGGGGGAAGGGGGAGGTGGGCTGGATGGCCCGAAGGAGGAGGAAGCGAGGGGGAAGGGGGAGGTGGGCTGGATGGCCCGAAGGAGGAGGAAGCGAGGGGGAAGGGGGAGGTGGGCTGGATGGCCCGAAGGAGGAGGAAGCGAGGGGGAAGGGGGAGGTGGGCTGGATGGTCCGAAGGAGGAGGAAGCGAGGGGAAGGGGGAGGTGGGCTGGATGGCCCGAAGGAGGAGGAAGCGAGGGGGAAGGGGGAGGTGGGCTGGATGGCCCGAAGGGGAAGGAAGCGAGGGGGAAGGGGGAGGTGGGCTGGATGGCCCGAAGGGGGAGGAAGCGAGGGGGAAGGGGGAGGGGGGCTGGATGGCCCGAAGGAGGAGGAAGCGAGGGGGAAGGGGGAGGTGGGCTGGATGGCCCGAAGGAGGAGGAAGCGAGGGGGAAGGGGGAGGTGGGCTGGATGGCCCGAAGGAGGAGGAAGCGAGGGGGAAGGGGGAGGTGGGCTGGATGGCCCGAAGGAGGAGGAAGCGAGGGGGAAGGGGGAGGGGGGCTGGATGGCCCGAAGGAGGAGGAAGCGAGGGGGAAGGGGGAGGTGGGCTGGATGGCCCGAAGGAGGAGGAAGCGAGGGGGAAGGGGGAGGTGGGCTGGATGGCCCGAAGGAGGAGGAAGCGAGGGGGAAGGGGGAGGAGGGCTGGATGGCCCGAAAGAGGAGGAAGCGAGGGGGAAGGGGGAGGTGGGCTGGATGGCCCGAAGGAGGAGGAAGCGAGGGGGAAGGGGGAGGTGGGCTGGATGGCCCGAAGGAGGAGGAAGCGAGGGGGAAGGGGGAGGTGGGCTGGATGGCCCGAAGGAGGAGGAAGCGAGGGGGAAGGGGGAGGTGGGCTGGATGGCCCGAAGGAGGAGGAAGCGAGGGGAAGGGGGAGGTGGGCTGGATGGCCCGAAGGAGGAGGAAGCGAGGGGGAAGGGGGAGGTGGGCTGGATGGCCCTTAGGGGGAGGAAGCGAGGGGGAAGGGGGAGGGGGGCTGGATGGCCTGAAGGAGGAAGCGAGGGGGAATGGGGAGGTGGGCGGAATGGCCCTTAGGGGGAGGAAGCAAGGGGGAAGGGAGAGAAGGGCGGAATGGCCCTTAGGGGGAGGAAGCGAGGGGGAAGGGGGAGGTGGGCTGGATGGCCCGAAGGAGGAGGAAGCGAGGGGGAAGGGGGGGAAGTGGGCTGGATGGCCCTTGGAAGGGGGGGCGGAAGCGTGGTGACGATGCGAATGAATGCTGTCGGGAGCGGGATTGACGGGCGAAATGCCGTCGGGAGCGGGATTGACGGGCGAAATGCCGTCGGGAGCGGGATTGACGGGCGAAATGCCGTCGGGAGCGGGATTGACGGGCGAAATGCCGTCGGGAGCGGGATTGACGGGCGAAATGCCGTCGGGAGCGGGATTGACGGGCGAAATGCCGTCGGGAGCGGGATTGACGGGCGAAATGCCGTCGGGAGCGGGATTGACGGGCGAAATGCCGTCGGGAGCGGGATTGACGGGCGAAATGCCGTCGGGAGCGGGATTGACGGGCGAAATGCCGTCGGGAGCGGGATTGACGGGCGAAATGCCGTCGGGAGCGGGATTGACGGGCGAAATGCCGTCGGGAGCGGGATTGACGGGCGAAATGCCGTCGGGAGCGGGATTGACGGGCGAAATGCCGTCGGGAGCGGGATTGACGGGCGAAATGCCGTCGGGAGCGGGATTGACGGGCGAAGTGGTAGGCGCGTTCGTCGCGCGGATCGGCGCGTACAAGCGCCTCAAATGCCACGGGGAAAAGCCTGAGGGAGGAGAGCAGGCTGGTGGGGCAAAGACCATGAAGCCGGCAAGAGGCCGAGGATCTCCTAGGGAGGACGAAGGTGGCGTTAGCCAAAATAGCTCTATACCATGTGAGAATCCCATAGTTGGGATGAAGGGGTGAACTCAAGAGTTGGTATATTGATAAAGAAGAGCAGTACAAATAGGGAATGGGAAGAGTGACCAAAATCAGAGTTACCCCACACCATTATTGGCAGACCAATGTGGTGAGGATCCAGCCCAATAATTGAGGTTGAGTCAATTATTGGAGGGGCCAAACATTGAGGGGGGTTGGCCACCAATGTTGGCTCCCCAACAATAATGGCTGCTTGGGTTGTGGGAACCCAACCAAAAGTTGGGACACCACCTCAATGTGTACACCCATGATTTGGGTGTACACTATTAGTTCTAGCCATATACATGCTATATTCTAACATGTCGTGCGCAGGAGCTGAAGCTTGACGGTTGTCAAGGGTGAATGACCTCTCGGAGTTGACGCGACTGTCTTCTCCTGTGAGAGATAGTCCAGCAACTCCTATTGCGTAGCTTGAACCATCGATGATCATTGCTTGATGGCTCTCAAGAGCGTTGATGCGAGCTACTAACGAGCTGCTCAACGATGGTGGTGCTGTCAGGGGTCACCGCTGATGGCGCATTAGTCGTTGCTGGTGGTGGGCCCGGAGAGTCTACAGTGGTTTTCCCTTCAAGAGCCATAGAGATGCATACTTGTAATAGATGTTGTAACGAGTAAGTCAATTAAGGGTTGTTCTGGGAAGAACAAGAACTTGGCGGGCCTTATAATCCACTCCAGCTCTCATACCATGCTGATATAACAAAGAGTCAAAGTGGATAGGATAAGCTAGCCAAGTTGTAGGGAGACAATTAAAGTCTCGTAGTGACCTTGTTAATACTAGTTGAAAGAGAACAAGATGAATAAGATAGAATTACAAGAGGTTTAAATAGCAAATCCTATCTAGCCATGTACTCTAAGGGGTACATTCCCTTATTGACTGTGTTGCATTGCTACAGTAACCGCGACAATTGCTATACTCGACAGCCAGCATGTAACCTCCGAGAGCGGTTACCGGGTGGTGTGTAACCTCAGAGTGCGGTTTTTTGGGTGGTCAATAGCCTCGATAGTTTACTTTCAGTGGCTGTTGACCTCTGAGAGGTTTTCTGGCTGCCGCGTGCTCTATATGAGCTAGTGCGGTACTGGTAAAGTTGTTGCTTCGTTATGAGCCAGTTCGATAAGGGAGAACCTTTGGGAATGTGTAATAACCCGTCGGTTATTCCAACATAGATCATTAACGGAATATACCTGAAGTGTTACATGATTTTTATTCACAACAGAACATATATTACATCTTCTTTGGTTTCAACACAGGCAGGTTGCACCACAAGCTACTTATTCCATGGCATGGAGAAACCTTGGCTGTAAGGAAAAACTCTTTTTCCTTACTGGGGTTTACTCAACCGCGTACAACCCCAACTTTCGGAAGTGCATGTTCGACCGCTTTGCTTGCTGCCGAAGCAACCTCGCGTCGCCTTCGGCTTTCCTTTGCCCAACCTGCACCCAACCTCGTATTTCTGAGGTTCTTCTTGTTGGTGTAAGGGCCTAATAAACTCAAGCTATTAGGACTTCATCAAACTTAAAACCTCTCCTCGGGGTCACCTCCAAGGGTCCCTGGGTGCCTAGTACAAGACCAGCCCCTATCCTCGGGTCCGAGTTTGTAGAGAGAGGGATCAAGAAGGACTTAGTCAAAACAGCAAGAGTACCTTGAACGTCGCACAGCGTGCCGTGCAGACCGTCGATCGGATTAAGCTGAGAATTCGCTATATCGAAGCTCGCTCTAAGAGCTTTAAAATGAGCCAAGTTGCCTCGCAAAAAGTTCTGCCATTACGAAGTTATGGCTCGGACGGTGTTTGCCTAGCATTAGAGTGCTAGCGTACTAGCGTTGACTCGGGTAGCATTCCGCCAACGAACCGCGTAGAAACGAAATTCCAGCAAGGAAGGAATTCGCATGAATCAATTTGACTATATTCAGGTACAAACAGAGAAGGGTTAAATAGTTCTAGCTAGCAAGGACCTTGGGAATCAACCTGGGAATAACCAGGGATGATCCCAAATAATTCCAAGCAACAGAACCAACCTGGCTGGACAAAATAGCAGGTGGTAGGTTGGTAAACAACCTCTGGTTCTGTTTTTCCAACCTGGGAAAACAACAACCAGGTTCAGGTTCTAATAACAGAACCTGTTTTGTCTTTGCCCAACCAGCCAAATACTGGTTCTGCTGGTTTCCCCTGGCCCTGTAGCATGCAGATACAGACAAAGAACATCCAACCTTCACCCAAATTGTACCCCTATAGTGCCTGTCCTGCTACACTATAGTCAACCAAACAAAACAGTACAATTTCGAGTTGGATAGAACTGGATCTGCGCAACCAATTTAACCAAACCGCAAAGCTTCCATCCTGGGTTCCTTTGCGAGCTCTTCCTTTCTGCTTGCACTGTTCATAGCACGTACAATGTTGTGCCGAAGCGCACATTGCGCGAGTACCTGCAAATGCATCAAGCGAAAATTGCGAAAGCAAACAAACATACGAACATTCCATTCACACCCAAATGCATTCGCACACGCATACTCGTACAAACAAACGGCAGGATGTTGTGCAATGTGCATTTGCACCCAACACACTCCCCCTCAGCCTGCCGGCTGCATCTCCATCATTCCATGCTAGTTCATGCTCATTCTACTCATGCGCACACAACGCCAATGAGGCTCATCCGCAAGCCTCTTGGTGAGAAAGTCTGCTGGCTGCTGGTGAGTCTTGATGTAGATCGGATTCACCGTCCCCCTCTTCACCTCCTTACGCAGCCAGTGCCACTTGATACGCATGTGCTTGTTCAGCCCATGAAACACAGCGTTCCTGGCCATCCCAAGAGCCCCCTTGCTATCACAAAACAGCGGCGTAGCAACTTTCTGCTCCTGGCCAATCTCCTCTAACAGCCTCCTCAACCAAATCACCTCCTTCACCCCATGAAACATTGCCATGTACTCTGATTCCACGGAAGAGAGTGCCGTCTCCGTCTGCTTCTTGGACCTCCAACTAACAGGTCCTCCTCCAACTACGCAGATGTATCCTCCCACAGATGAGGAGTCCTCCTTCTCAGAAGCCCAAGTAGCATCAGTAAAGCAAGTTAGAAAGAGCTTGCCTTCTCCAAGCCTCTCCCCCTTCTCTTTCAGCACCTCCACCCCTTTCTGCTTCACCTGTGCAGATGCGGAGTATTGAACTCCAATGCTTGGGTGAGAGTTCAGGTACTTCACCACACGCTCAGCTGCATCCACCTGCTCCTCTGATGGATTCTGCACCACCCTAGCCAGCTGCCCAACCGAGAAAGAGATGTCGGGCCTCGTGTGAACAGCTGCATACAAGAGGCTGCCCACCAAGGACTGAAATTGCTGCTGCTCCTCGGCTTCAACCCCTTCATCCTCTGCAGCCTTCACAAGCTTGAATTCTGCTGGCAGGGGAGTTGCAACCTTGCGCTCATTCTCAATCCCATACTTCTCCCCCAGCTCCTTGATGAACTTCTCCTGGTGCAGCTTCAACCACCTGTGATCAGGATCCCTCTCCACGTGCATCCCGAGGTAGTACTTTACCTCCCCAAGGTTCTTGCACTTGAAGTTTTCCATCAGTTGCTGCTGCACTTTCTGGATCTCCTTCATGCTGCTGCTGAAGAGAAAAATGTCATCCACGTAGACCAGAAACAGCACCAGCTTCTCCCCCTCGCCCTTGAGAAAGAGGCTCTCATCACAGCTGCTGGTTCTGAATCCCATCTCCTCTAAAACAGCTGCCAACTTCTGGTACCAGCAGCGTGGCGCCTGCTTCAAGCCGTAGATGGACTTGTTGAGCTTGCACACCCTGCCCGTACCATCCTCATACCCAGGCGGCTGCATCATGTACACATCCTCCTCTAAAATCCCATTCAGGAATGCCGTTGAAATATCCATCTGAATGATGAATTTCCCACTAACAGCTGCATCTGCCAACAAGACACGGAGGGTAGGGGGTTTGGCAGTGGGAGCAAAGATCTCGTTGAAGTCCTGCTTCTCCTTCTGCATAAACCCCTTAGCCACCAACCTACTCTTGTAGATGGTGACCTGCCCCTTGTCGTCAGTCTTGATCCTTAGCACCCACTTGCATTGTACCGCTTTCTTTCCCTCAGGCAGCACCACTAGTTCCCAAGTCCCATTCTCCAGCAGGCTCTGGTACTCAGCATCCCTAGAAGCCAGCCACTTGTCCCTATCTGGTCCAGCTAATGCCTCCTCCATGCTAGCTGGTTCCTCTGGTGCAGGGGCAAGAAAACAGTACGCAGGCTCATCCTCCTCATCCGGGTCATAGCCATGCGGTAGAATCAGCAATGCCTCTTCGGTCCCTAGCTGCTGCTCTGCTGCATCAGTTCCTGCAGTCAGCTTCTTAGTAGCCATACGGGTACGTCCTGGCCTGGAGACGGGTGTCTCCCATCCCTTCATAACGACACCCTTCGGCTTCTTAGTTTTCCCCTGCTGCTGCTCTCCTCCCTTGGATCCAGCAGCTTCACTAGTGCTGCCGCCACTTTCCACACCATTTTCTCCACCAGCAGGTGCCTCCTGTACCTTCTCTCCATCACCATTTCCCGCAGCTGCCTCCTCTCCCTCCTCCCACACACTAGGAGTCAGGTCCAGCTGCATGGTGATCTGCTCCATCTGCTGGGACACCTGGGCCTCCGGCTGTTTCTCCCAGCTCCCATACATCATGCCCTCAATGAATTTCACATCCCTGCTGTCAAACAACACACCCTTGGATGGTTCCCACAGCAGCCATCCCTTGCTCTCAGCAGCCAGCCCCAAATGCACACACCAGATTGCACTCGCCCCCAACTTACTACGGTAGGTCTTGGGGACGTGGGCGACTGCCATGCAACCGAACACCCTCAGCATGTCCACCGGCGGCTTCCTCCCAAGCCACCTCTCCAACGGCACCCACGAGTCATCCCCAACCTTAGTGAGCACCCTGTTCCTAGCGACGGTGGCGTGCCGGACAGCATGGGGCCACATCGAGTTGCT